TAATATAAACCAAAACCTTTCGTTGTAGCCACCAAATCCCAACCCTTCACTTCATCCATCTTGGCCACCTCATCTGTGGCCCAGTAGGGCCACACCAATCTTCTTCACTGACATCGTCAAATGAGCAACAACCACCTCCAGAATCTACGGTTAGTGTATTCGCATTGCTTGACTTTTAGGTTATGCTAGGTTAAATCATCCTATCTCGTGCTATAACAACAAGCTTTAATATGCCCATACCATCTGCGTGCCTTTTAATAGAAACGGTGTATCATGCAAAGACATAACCATTCCCATTACTTAATTTACTAATTGTAACATTGTTATATGTTTTGTACTACCTCATTATTATAAATCTAATTAATCATTTCAGTTACAGTGGAACCTCGGTTTTCATTTGCCCTGGTTTTCGTTGAATTCGGTTTTTGACGACTTTCGTCAAAATTTTGTCCCAGTTTTTGTTCGTCACATTGGTTTTCGTCGAGTTGACAGCGGTCTGCCATACCGAATGTGCCCACCCGCGCTCACACAAAGCATCCTTTACGTTCTGAGTCAGTCTGGCTTTGTTTCTCGTCGTAAAGGGTGGTAGTGATGGTGGTAGTAATGGTGGTAGAGGTAACCTCTCCTCCCTCTCTCCTCCTTGCCATCTTCCATACGCCAACAGGAGTCTTCAATAAAGGTAAAAGTGATGTTAAATGTTTATTTATCCATTTTGTTAGTCCTTTATATTTATTTCTCATTGTTTTCTGTTTGTAAAACTAGTTATTTTCTATAAAATGTGTTTTTTGTTAATACTTTTGGGTGTCTAGAGCGGATTAGTAATTGGATTTACATTATTTCTTATGGGAAATATTGCTTTAGTTTTCATTGAATTTGGTTTTCGTCAGACTTTCTGGAACAGATTAATTACGAGAACCGAGGTTCCACTGTACCTAACTTTTATATCGTTATGCCGTATGGCATATTAAAATGTACTGCACCATAACCTGCATCAATATAGAGTAAGAATTAGGATTAGTCAGCTCGAAATGCCTAGGCATGCTAGAGGCCTTCTTTGTAATTATTATTTTATAATATGTAAACCACACATTATAAACTTCGCAAGGAAATAAACATTTTCATTTTAGTCATTGTACAATACTCCATTTATTATTGGTGATGAATTGTGTATTTACTAGGTAATAGGTTGGTAGACAACAACTAACCAGGGAGGTACTGCCATCCTGCCAAGTGAGTTTGAAATGGAAATCTGTAGTTGTTTTACATGATGGCAGGATTGCTGGTGTCTTTTTTCTGTCTCGTAAAGATGTGGTATAACAGGTATATCTTGCTACTTCTGCTTACACTTGGGTCACACTACACATGCATATACATACACACCCATCTGGGTTTTCTTCTATTTTTTCATAGTTCTTTATTTCTCTTATCTCTGTGGGGAAGCGGAAAATAATTCTTCCTCTGTAAGCCGTATGTGTCAGAAGGGGTGACTAAAATGCCGGGAGCAAGGGCCTATAACCCCTTCTATATAAATTACTAAATTTATAAAGAAAATCTTTAGTCTTCATTTTTAGGTCACCCTGCCTCAGTGGGATGCAGCCAGTTCATTCGAAAAAAAAAAGTGTATTGAAAGGAAAAGCTGTATGGTTTTTTGCAAGGTGGCATGGAACACAACCCAGTTTTTCCCACAAGTCGATCTCTCCCGTTATTGCATTTTCATGTATAGCTTTGTTTTTCTGGAATGTAACTCAAGCAAAATATGGTTGTCTACTGTATTTTTTTTTTTAACACGGGTCATCTCCCACCGAAGCAGGGTGACCCAAAAAGAAAGAAAAAATCTCAAAAAACAAAATACTTTCATCATCATTCAACACTTTCACCTCATACATAATCACTGTCTTTGCAGTGATTATGTATGAGGTGAAATATATGACAGTTCAGAAGTCCCTCCAAACTGCCAATATCACAAACCCCTCTGTTAAAGTGCAGGCATTGTACTTCCCATTTCCAGGACTCAAGTCTGGCTAACCAGTTTCCCTGAATCCCTTCACTAAATATTACCCTGCTAACACTCCAACAGCTCGTCAGGTTCCAAAAACCATTCGTCTCCATTCACTCCTATCTAACACCCTCATACATGCTTGCTGTAAGTCCAAGCACCTCGCCCACAAAACCACCTTTACCCCCTCCCTCCTACCTTTTCAAGGACGATCCCTACCCCGCATCCCTTCCCCTACAGATTTATACGCTCTCTAAGTCATTCTACTTTGATTCATTCTCTCTAAATGACCAAACCACCTCAACAACCCCTCTTCAGCCCTCTGACTAAAACTTTTAGTAACTCCACACCTCCTCCTAATTTCCACACTCCAAATTATCTGCATATTTATACTATGCATTGCCCTTAGACAGGACATCTCCACTGCCTTCAGCCACCTCCTTGCTGCAGCATTTGTAACCCAAGCTTTACACCCATATAAGAGTGTTGGTACTACTATACTTTTGTACATTCCCTTCTTTGCCTCCATGGGTAATTGTTTTTTTTTTTTTTTTTGTCTCCACAGATAGCTCAATACACCACTTGCCTTTTTTCCTTCATTAATTCTATGGTTAACCTCGTCCTTCATAAACCCATCCGCTGACAAGTCAACTCCCAGATATCTGAGAACATTCACTTCTTCCATACTCTCTCTCTCCAATGCTATATCCAATTTTTCTTAAACTCATTTAATATCCTCATCACCTTACTCTTATCTATGTTTACTTTCAACTTCCTACCTTTACACACCCTCCCAAACTCGTCCACTAACCTTTGCAACTTTTTTTAGAATCTCCCATAAGCACAGTATCATCAGCAAAAAGTAACTGTGTCAACTCCCATTTTGTATTTGATTTGCCATAATTTAATCCTACCCCTCTCCACAACACCCTAACATTTACTTCTTTTACAATCCCATCTATAAATATATTAGACAACCATGGTGACATTACACATCCCCGTTTAAGAACTACTTTTACCGGGAAGTGATCTCCCTCTCTTCTACACATCCTAACCTGAGCCTCACTATCCTCATAAAAACTACAGCATTTAGTAACTTACTACCTATTCCTTATACTTGCAATATTTGCCACATTGCTCCTCTGTCCACTATCATATGCCTTTTCCAAATCCATAAATGCAGTGAAAACTTCCCTACCTTTATCTGAATACTGTTCACATACGTGCTTCAATGTAAACACTTGATCTACACATCCCCTACCCACTCTAAAGCCTCCTTGCTCATCTGCAATCCTACTTTCTGTCTTACCTCTAATTCTTTTAGTAATACCCCTACCGTACACTTTTCCTGGTATACTCGGTAAACTTCTTCCCCAATAATTTTTAGTCTCTTTTGTACCCCTTCCCTTTATATATACATGCTCTCTGCCAATCCCTAGGTACCTTCCCCTCTTTCATACATTTATTAAACAAAAATACCAACCACTCCAACACTATATCCCCTCTGCTTTTAACATTTCTGTCATGATCCCATCAGTTCCAGCTGCTTTATCCCCTCTCATTCTACGTAATGCCTCATGCACCTCCCCCACACTTACATCCTGCTCTTCTTCACTCCTAAAAGATGTTATGCCTCCCTGGCCCGTGCATGAAGTTACCACCTCCGTTTCTTCATCAACATTTAAAAGTTCCTCAAAATATTCCCGCCATCTACCCAATACCTCCAGCTCCCCATGTACTAACTCCCCTGCTCTGTTTTTAACTGACAAATCTATTTGTTCCCTAGGCTTTCTTAACTTGTTTATCTCGCTCTAAATTTTTTTCTTATTTTCATCAAAATTTCTTGACAGTGCCTCTCCCACTCTGTCATCTGCTCTCCTTTTGCACACCCTCACCACTTTCTTCACCTTTCTTTTACTCTCCATATACTTTGCTCTTCTTATAACACTTCTGCTTTGTAAGAACCTCTCATAAGCTACCTTTTTTCTCATTTATCACACCCTTCATCATTCCACCAGTCACTCCTCTTTCCTCCTGCACCCACCCTCCTATAGCCACAAACTTCTACCTCACATTCTAATACTGCATTTTTAAAACTATTCCACTCCTCAACCCCTCCACCCCCACCCCAATACTCATACTTGCACTAGCCCATCTACTGTATGTATAATGTAATCATTATGATTGTTAGGTAACAAGTCATGTGGGTCTTTAACTTTAAATAGCCAAAATATCAATCATAAGATTTAAAACAACTTTAAGTGATGGAGACTAAAGCTGAGATTTGTGATCAGTGCATCAAAGTTAGCTGGATAAAAATTTAAAATTTGTTGGCTAGTGTTATCTGTCTGCTGATATTATTCTTGCTTGGCTGTGTAATAATTTTTGTTGCTACTAGAATGCCCATATTTTTAGCTACTTCTGAACTGCATCCAATATACAGTGCCTATGTGAAGATTGTTCATTATATTCATTGTCTTAAAATTTTCAGCTGTTCTTGCTTCCTCTGGTCATCGGCTCTGTTCATGGCAGCCCATAACATCTCTTGCCTGCTTTATTCTTATTTTGTTTAGCATATTCTATCTCCAAGTTTATATCTGGTACTAAATGACAACTTTTTTTCTTTGTAGCCATAGATTAATGTAAATTTGTGCATTAATTAGCAGAAGGGATGTAGAAAAATTTGCTGACTTCCAGCTTGGGTTGTACATTTATTTTGGAATTTCACTGTACCATCTGGTGTTACAACTAAGATGGAACAAATTGTCGAGCATGTGTACCAGTAGTGAAAGCCTTTCTTCTCCCCTAGTAATATTTTTTTGCTTTGTTCGCACTAGATACAGTGGAAATTTTGGACTATAAATCTTTTCTTTTATAGCTTAAAATAGAGTACCGTGCAGTAATTATAATAAATACACAGGTGTCTTATAAGTGATATGTAGTTTATTAATCTTTATATCTCATTGTATAAAGAATATGATTAATGAATTATTTTATCTTACAGTGTGCTTCCAAGGAAAGTATGTTGGAAGATATTCACGATAGTCAGAATCATGAAACACCACCAAAGAGAACATTAAGAAGTGGATTATTAACACAGGATAAAGGTGATAAACAAGATTTACTTTCTTCCAAGCATAAGCAAGTAATAAAAAAGTTAGTAAAGGAATGTTCTGAATTGTTTATATCATTGAGAAGCAAGCCAAAGAAACCTTCAGTTCAGAATGCCAGAAACTTGTTGCACAAGACTGCAAGTCAAAGCAAAGGTAAAACAGTTTTTAAGAACACTACTAACAAAACGAAGTGCACAGGAGCTTCAAAACAATGTACAAGACAGGATGGAGAGAAAGTTACATTTGGTGTTTCTGCAAACAGTGATGATTCAGAGTGTAGTATATTGAAGACTAAAGAAATTTCATTCAAAGATGACCATTCAGAGTCATTAGGCCATAAAGATGACAGTGCTTCATTCAAAAGATCAAAGTCTTTATCATGTAAAAAGTCTTTAGAAGCCAGTGCAGGAGCAGCTGATAATGAAAAATCTTCCAGTAAAGCATATGACCATCTTCAAACTCAAGGACACACTGACAGGGAAACCTTGGCAAAATCTTATGTACCAGGCAAATATGTTGAAAAGTCTTCACCAGAAAATGCTAGCACTTCCAGAAGAGCTACGAGATCATGGACTGAAAACTCCAAAACATGCAACAGAATGTCAGCATCATCAGAATCTTCACTAGAAAATGTTACTACTAAATGTAGCTAAAAATTCTAGTACAATTAGTACTAAGAATTCTAAAACATGTAATGAGGATGCCAGGGTGTCAACCTCGACAGGTACTGGTAAGTCAGGGACAAATGGTGGTAACACCAAATTAAATAAGGCAAAATTAGATGATAGAGCTGATATTGTGAAAGGCCAAACTGTCTCTGAAAGTGTAATGTGTAAAAGATCCAAAATTATTCAGGTACCTTCATTCACATCAGTAGATGAATCAGTAAAAACTACTAAAAGTATACACAGTATAAATTCAACTACAAATGGTACAGGAAAGCCCAGCCAAAAAATCTATAGCATAAAACCTAATATAAGACATAGTAAAAATCGGAGATCCAAAACTGAAGCTAAAGCTAGAATATTTACCACGATAAATATTTCCAGATTTGTTGAGATGAATATTCCAAACCTGGTTTTAAAAGATGATGTTAAAGAGTCTACTTTAACACAAGCTGATGATAAATCTCGTGTTGACTCTGATCCTACAAAATTGCAGAATTCAAAGGATTCTGAAAAAGCCACATTGGAAAGCCGTACTGCAAAAGTCATTACAAAATCTCATATTAGGAAATTCTCAACAAAATTAAAGAAAAAATCTAGGGCTTTTGAATTAAATGATAAGTCTGAGGCATTGAAGACAAAAGGAATGAACACAGATTCTTTTAAAGCTTTTGTTGATGCTGTAAAAAGTGTTAAGGCAAACCCTGATAGTGTGGGATATACCACTCGCTCACATGTTACAACAAACCCTGATAGTGTGGGACATATCACTCGCCCACAGGTTGCAACAAGCCCTGAAAGTGTGGGACATATCACTTGCTCACATGCTACAATGAGCCCTGATAGTGTGGGACATAACACTCGCTCACATGTTAAAACAAACCCTGATAGTGTGGGATATACCACTCGCTCACATGTTACAACAAACCCTGATAGTGTGGGACATATCACTCGCCCACAGGTTGCAACAAGCCCTGAAAGTGTGGGACATATCACTTGCTCACATGCTACAATGAGCCCTGATAATGTGGGACATAACACTCGCTCACATGCAACGAGCCCTGATAGTGTGGGACATATCACTCGCTCACATGTACAAACAAACCCCTGATCAGTTTGCTACAAACCCAAGGTTAAACAAGGCACTGAGAGTTGGGGAACTATCACTATTCACTGCACTCCCTGATTAGTTGGAAGCTTAACATCTCAATGCGTGTCTTAGAGCTGATAAGTGCACAAATCCAGGTCATCAAGAAAGTATTGGGGAATATCACTTCGTCTGTGAAAGGCTACCATGACAAATTGCTACAAAAATCTTAAAAGTAATCTGATTGCAACTAACAAAATGTATAACTAAGTTTTGGAATGAAAAACGAATGATTTTGTGAAGTCAAACAGATCAAGAAAGTTACAAGGAAATATGTCCTGTGTCAATGTACCCTAAAGTACAAATTTAATAAAAAAGTATTGCTGTACTGAAAAATGATAAAATTTGGCATGAACAAAATTTGAAAGCTCAAGAGGAAAGTAAGTAATCAAAGCTTACAGAAAGTATGTCTCTTGAAATGTCTCTAAATCTTATGACTGAAGATAATTAGTTACTCAAAAGGAATGAAAGTACTCCATAGTCTAGTATGGTGGAATGCTCTAACAGAGAGGGGAATTTGTTCAAAAGCTCCTTCTGAATTAGTAATGTGCATGCTCTTTAAAAGAGAGGATGATCAATAACACCTGAAAAAAAGAAGTGCAATGTTTTAGAAGTCGATAGGTAAATCAACTAGAAGCAGACTAATGAACCAACATCAATAAGCACTATCCCGTCAGAAGTAGAGTCTGTAGATTCTTTGTCCTCTGTAGGTGGTACTGCAGCATCCATTGTGACTAAAACTTGTAATACAAAACCTAATTTGATGAATGTTGACAGTACTTATGTCAGTTCAGCCAAGCCCATTGAAACAAAATGTGATACAGTAAATGACAGTGTCACAGTACCTGGTAATGTTAATTCCTCCTGTTTTAAAAAGACCTCCACAAAATCATCTGCAGGAAATTATCGGAAAGAATCTGTATCACTTGATATTGACACTGCAAATGACACTGATGTATGTATTGTAATGCCTTGCAACCAGACTGATAGTGTAAATTCCACTCTAGTAAAAACTGTCTCATTACCTGTCACACCTCACTGTCTTACTAGATCAAGTGATGCAAAACCAGTAATAAAGGACACTAATCTTGCAGTTAATGAATTAGTACAAGATTCTGCTGCAGAGGGCTCTACAAAATCATCTACAGGAAAATGTCAGAAAAAATTGGAGAATATTTCATCTATATCAATAGATATAGATGAAATATTAGATGCTTTTACACACGAAGAATTTTCAGGAGAGACTCCTGTAAGTGGCAGTAATGATACGTGTCTTTTAACATTTAGTAACCAGACAGATAGTGTAAATTACACTCCATGCAAAACTGAAGCTGCATTACCTGTCACACCCCAAGTTGATGCTCCAGAACCTCTTACCAAGTCTACTGTTGCAGAATCAAGAATAACAGAGGATGCTGACTCGGTAAATTTCATTGTTTCAAAAGCGACGGCTTTGCCAGTAGCTGTAAGAAAAACTGAAGAGGATACTTTTGAGGTTACTAAATCAAAAAATAATATGCAGGATAAGTTGATTAATGAGGCTGCAAAATGTCTTATAAATGATGAAAAGCTGAGACATACCATGGAAAAACCTGGCCATTCATTATCTCCAGAAACTGCATGTCCAAAGTCTTCCAGACCAAGAGGCGATTCTGTAACTTGTCCCGGAACATCAGCTGATTTTGCAAAGTCGGCCACAATTAGAGACGATAAAATCTCTGCAGGAAGATCATCTGATAAAATTAATTCATCAGGAATGAGAGCTGATCCCTCAAAATTGACCAGAACAGAAACTGGTCTTAGAAAATCAGCCAGAGTAAGAACTAATAGTGAAAAGTCTCTCATAGAAAGAAATAGTAGTAAAAAATCTCCCAGAAAAAGAAATAATAGTGGAAAATCCCCTAGAAAAAGAAATAATAGTGGAAAATCCCCCAGAAAAAGAAATAGTGAAAAATCCCCCAGAGAAAGAAATAATAGTGGAAAATCTTCCAGAGAAAGAAGAGATAGTGAAAAATCTCCCATTAAAAGATGTAAGAGTGCGATATCTTGTGGGAAACCCGACTGTGTTAAGAGTCTAAGACACAACACTCGTTCAAAGAAATCTGGAGACGGCAACTGCTGCTTGTGCACCAAAGAAGTCGGTGTAAAATCCCCTGGAAAAACTGCCAACATAACTAAAGTAGGCTCTGATCTTTTGACATGTGCTGCAACTGGTGATGCAGAATTCAATTCCTCCTTCACTACAAAATGGATATCAAGTACTAATGATGCTACAATGTTTCATGTAGGGCATGAACCAAGATTCAGTAAGAGTGATGCTGAAGAAATTGGTGCTTCAGATTTTATAGATTCTGTAAAATTCAGTCCTGATAATACTGACTTTGTGAAAGATGGATCAGAAACTAATATTGATATAACCTCCTCATCAAGAGAACTTAATGAACAAGCCACCATAGCTGGAGATGAAGGCTGTGCCCCAACTACCAAGCCTGGGGAGGCTGGTGTCAGCACGGTCTCTAAGAAGGAAGCAGCATGCTCCGTCTCAGCTGCTAAGATTCAGGAGGTGGTAGTCACTCCAGCTGCCAAGGCTGGAGAGACAGGCACCACTCCAGCTGCCAAGGCTGGAGAGACAGGCACCACTCCAGTTGCTAAGACTGGAGAGACAGGCACCACTCCAGTTGCTAAGACTGGAGAGACAGGCACCACTCCAGTTGCTAAGACTGGAGAGACAGGCACCTCTCCAGCTGCCAAGGCTGGAGAGACAGGCACCACTCCAGCTGCCAAGGCTGGAGAGACAGGCACCACTCCAGCTGCCAAGGCTGGAGAGACAGGCACCACTCCAGCTGCCAAGGCTGGAGAGACAGGCACCACTCCAGCTGCCAAGGCTGGAGAGACAGGCACCACTCCAGCTGCCAAGGCTGGAGAGACAGGCACCACTCCAGCTGCCAAGGCTGGAGAGACAGGCACCACTCCAGCTGCCAAGGCTGGAGAGACGGGTGACACTCCAGCTGCCAAGACTGAAGAGACGGGTGCCACTCCAGCTGCCAAGACTGGAGAGACAGGCACCACTCCAGCTGCCAAGGCTGGAGAGACAGGCACCTCTCCAGCTGCCAAGGCTGGAGAGACAGGTGCCACTCCAGCTGCCAAGGCTGGAGAGACAGGTGCCACTCCAGCTGCCAAGACTGGAGAGACAGGCGCCACTCCAGCTGCCAAGACTGGAGAGACGACGCCACTCCAGCTGCCAAGACTGGAGAGACGGACGCCACTCCAGCTGCCAAGACTGGAGAGACGGGCACTACTTCACCTGCCAAGACTGGAGAGACGGGCACCACTCCAGCTGCCAAGGCTGGAGAGACGGGCACCACTCCAGCTGCCAAGGCTGGAGAGGCAGGCACCACTCCAGCTGCCAAGGCCAGAGAGACAGGCACCACTCCAGCTGCCAAGGCTGGAGAGACAGGCACCACTCCAGCTGTCCAGTCTGGAGAGACAGGCGCCACTCCAGCTGCCAAGACTGGAGAGACTGGCGCCACTCCTGCTGCCAAGACTGGAGAGACGGGCGCCACTCCAGCTGCCAAGACCAGAGAGACGGGCGCCACTTCAGCTTCCGAGACCAGAGAGACGGGTGCCACTCCAGCTGCCAACTGGAGAGATGGGGCCACTCCAGCTGCCACATCCGGAGAGACGGGCACCACTCCAGCTGCCACATCCGGAGAGACGGGCACCACTCCAGCTGCCACACTGGAGAGACGGGCGCCACTCCAGCTGCCAAATCCAGAGAGACGGGCGCCACTCCAGCTGCCACATCTGGAGAGACGGGCGCCACTCCAGCTGCCACATCCGGAGAGACGGGCGCCACTCCAGCTGCCACATCCGGAGAGACGGGCGCCACTCCAGCTGCCACATCCGGAGAGACGGGCGCCACTCCAGCTGCCACATCCGGAGAGACGGGCGCCACTCCAGCTGCCACATCCGGAGAGACGGGCGCCACTCCAGCTGCCACATCCGGAGAGACGGGCGCCACTCCAGCTGCCACATCCGGAGAGACGGGCGCCACTCCAGCTGCCACATCCGGAGAGACGGGCACCACTCCAGCTGCCACATCCGGAGAGACGGGCGCCACTCCAGCTGCCACATCCGGAGAGACGGGCGCCACTCCAGCTGCCACATCCGGAGAGACGGGCGCCACTCCAGCTACCACATCCGGAGAGATGGGCGCCACTCCAGCTGCCACATCTGGAGAGACGGGCGCCACTCCAGCTGCCAAGACCGGAGAGACGGACGCCACTCCAGCTGCCAAGACCGGAGAGACGTGCACCACTCCAGCTGCCAAGACTGGAGAGACGTGCACCACTCCAACTGCCAAGACTGCAGAGACGGGCGCCACTGCAGCTGCCAAGACTAGAGAGAATGGCACCACTCCAGCTGCTAAGACTATAGTGGCAAGTGTTGCCCCTACTTCCCAGACTGGAAAGCTGGGTGCTGCTGCAGTTGCTAACAGTGGCACTGGAAAAACTGGAATAGGCCCTCGTAATAGAGCCTGCTGCACCACAGTTTGTACTGAGAGGAGGGCAGTTGCCTTGCCTGAATGTTTAAAGACGAAAGCCAGTACAGCTAATGCTGAAAAGACAAGAGTTCCTTTATCTGAAAATGTTAAAAAGTCAAACCCCACAGGTGTAACTGAAACAACAGCTGCTGCCTTACCTGAAGGTGTAAAGGCACCAATTGCCATAGTTAATATGGAGAAGGGAGAGACTGCAGGTAACATTAAAAAATTGTCAGTTGGCTCAGCCATACCTACAATACTTTACACAGGTAAAAGCATGATAACCTCCAAAACAGCTTCTGGAAAGTCTGCAGTCACTGCAAATGAGAGTGGAAATTCAACAGTCGCCAAAACTAAGTCTCAAACGTTAGTATGTGACATTGGTAACACTGAAAAA